GGGAAGACCACCTGGAATATGCCACACTTATTTCTTACTTAATATCTGGCTCTCTTAGCCCTGGTATGGTCTGAGATTCAGAACTACTCAAAGTGCTTGTTCTCACATCTAGAATATTGTTATGTGCTAACAGATCTGTTCAGGGCAGGTGGTGGAAAATGTAGAGATAGTTTACTGCTCACTTAATCAGTTAAGCATTTTAACTACTGGCAACACCTCAAAATACTTGTAAATTGACAAGTTGAAGAGTTAGACACATGTGCAACAACTAGGTATCTTTATTATGTAGATGTTTTGCCATCCAATGGCTTTATCAGTACAATTTAGGGACAAAAACAGAAGACTGAAGAGGTTGAAGATGAGGTAGTCAGTCCCTCAGCCTAAGAGTTGTTGTTCAGTACTGTAGTGTTGAACCTGAAGCACAGGCAGGAAGATGTGAACCTATAGGTTGCAAGTCTTGCAACATTGCATAGCTCTTGATGAAGCATGAGTGTGAAAGATATTGAGCTAAAGATTTCCATTTCCATGTGGCTTCTTTTGCATTGTTGAGATCGCCTGTTTGTGATTATATTGCTGTTTGCTGTGTAAAAGTGAGGGAAGAGGCCATCATGAACTACTGGATGTTATCAAATTTATTTGTATATTTAAGGTAGAATATGGGTTAGTGTGTGGGGTAGGCCTTCACTCTGTCAGAATTTCAACCTTTCAGTAGTAGTAGCCATAAATAGGTTGACCCCCAGCTTTTTGCTGAAAAATTTGGTCTTAACAATCTCTAGACCTATACATGGGTATATACTTGTGCTTGATAAGCTGTAGGAGCATGAGCATGGTAACATTTATGAAGGGATTCAAGGAAAGTTGGTTAGCTGAACTTGAGGTTTGGAGGTGGGAAGTATTGCCTCTACTCTGAAGGTTGAGTAAAGATGGTACAGTTTAGTGGGCCACTTGAGTGATGGTTAGTGTGTATTCTGGTCAGTGATGGTTAGTGTGTATCCTGGTCACATGAATGAGTGATGGCTAATGTGTATCCTTCTTTGATCACCCTACCTTGGTAGGAAATAGATGATGTATTAAAAACAGATAGCAGATAGTATTTACATAAATATACACCATAATTATTTCTAGGTAGTGCCTAGTTAATACATAATGATTAACATACAGTAATATTAAATCTACATGCCTTATCCAGAAAAAAGCAAGTACTGTATGTACTTCAAAAATGTAATGAATATATTGGCAGACTGTTGAAGTGAATTATTGTTGAATCATATGCAAATTGTGATAAATTTAGTCAAAATTTTAATAACAACTTTTAATTTTAGGAGCACAAGAATATGGTGAAGCAGCTGCTTATATACAAGCCCAGTTTGAAGCTAAGAACAAATCGACATCCAAAGAGATCTACTGTCACATGACATGTGCTACAGACACAAACAACATTCAATTCGTATTTGATGCTGTAACGGATGTGATTATAGCAAACAACCTACGTGGGTGTGGCCTCTATTAAGCTGTGCCTGTCCACCCAGATGTGTTCAATGTAGGGATATTTTGGTACAGTCGTGGTCTAGCCCCATGCTCCAGGAAATGTTCTTGCCATGTCTAGCAAGGTAAAGACATTTACCAGGAGAACTTGCTAGTTGTACCATGCCCACTAATCTCCTCTGTTACTCATAATGGGTTATGCACAGAGTGAGGTACTTGCCTAATAAGTCAGGCCTGTAAAGGTGTGGTCTTATCTCTTAATAGGAAATTGGAAATGCAATTAAAAGTGATTAAAGGTACAGTATTTGCAAATAATGCAGGATATGATCATTATGTTTTTATGACCATTTCATACAAAATTGAGAAAACAGACTGAATGATATTTGAAAATTGTGGAAATCCCCTCCTATCTTGTATATTAATAACCCTTTAATTTGTATTGCCAAATGAAGCCTTACAATTCTAGCCGTGTAATATAAGTCGATTTATTGACCCAAGATATTACATATGTGCAAAATCAGCATAGCTGCAAGTATGCCAAGTAGCTAGGTTAATACAGTTTCTTTTCCCTTTATATAAGCTAATGGCTTACCAAGGATTATTCATTAAATCTTCAGTCTTGTGTATCACTGATAATCAGCGAGCCTTATATTAGCAAAATTTTTTAGTATTTACCCACTTCAGGTTTTGTTTGAAGAAGCTCTGTGGGTATTAGGAAGGTCAGTTAATAACCTAACATTAGATTGTAATAAAGTATGGTTATGAGACTGATATTGGTGGTTCAGAGCAGTGAGTGTCATTCTTTCTAGTCATGTCTGTATTCTTAGTCAATTTTCACAAAAGTCAGTGATGTAACACAACAGGAGTTTGCATTTTGTAAGGCCCTGTTATATTGAGACAATTACTTGAAAAATGTGATACAAAAATATGATCCCTATTATGCACTTCAACAATTTTTTCTAATATATAATTAATAGACATTAGGTGACTGGAATATGAAATGCTTAGAAGTTCAAATGTGAGCCTAATGCATTTAAACAGTTACATTAGAGTTGCACCCAAGAACAAAGCATTATCAGTTGCAACGATCATGCCATAGAGGATAGACATATCCATAAGTGATAACATTTATCATTATTAGCATAGCCATATATGGCCGTGTTTCTGTATATCAACACCATCAATAAATTAGTTTTAGTTTTAATGTTGATAATATTTTAGTTTATTAAACAAAATATCCCCAAAGACTTGATTATGTATCTTTGATGGTATGTACAATATTGCAGTAGTTGTTCGTTCATGTTATGACTAAGAAATATACTTCTTGTAGCACTCGGAAGCCAAGCTGAGATGTTCACATCAATTTTAAAGCATACTGAAATGTGAGGAAATCATCTGTGAAACTTGTACATTAGAATCTACAATGTTCTAAAGTTTTTAATTTGATTGTCAACTACTTGGCTTGGGTTTGTCTTCGTGTTTAATTTTATCAATTCTTAGTCATGTTACAAATTCTGGAAAAAAAAAAAAAAGCTTTTTAAGAAAATGAGGCGGCAGTTTGATATGATCAATGCATACCAGTGAGTGCAAGTTGTGTTAATCAACATCATTTACTTTAATACTAATGATTACTATTTTAAGGATGTGTTGCCTAAAATGGCATTAATAAGCCTTTACCATGGTCTACGCTTTTATGCATTCCTCAGACTTATCTCTTGTGCTGTGAAGGTAAGTAATCATCTCCTTGTATAGAAAATATTCTATTTAAAATATACATCTCTCTGACAAAAAAAAAAAATCCTTGTATAAATGAGAAATATACAAACTATTTAGAATTGGGACCACTGTTCTACACGAGTACTTAGAAGGCATCCCAACTTCTGAGACAATTTTATTGGTTAACTAATGTTAGACCTGTCTCTGGCTCTGGTAGTAGTGAGCAAAACTAAGTGGTGGTGCAAGATACAGAAATAATTGGTTAATTAGATGCACTCTTGTATACTTCAGATCTTAACATGATATGTCAAAGGAATAGTGTATAGTTCTGTAAAAGTAGTTGGACCTTGTCTTGTGAAAAGGGACTAACGTTTTATTAGAACTAAACTATAGTTGTCAGCCAAGTCTTAGAAAGCTAAAAAAAAAAAAAAAAAATCCACCAAGAAACTTCAGACTCCTAAACAATGTCCAAGAGGAGTTGTAGGAGAAGGTTAGATGAGGCGAGCCTTCCTGGTGATGATATAGGAGGAGTTATTTACTTGCGTGCTGAGCTTGCCCCACTGCCAAAAATAAATATTTCAGCTGCACCAGGAGGCTTAGCCTCATAGTTTATTTCAAGTTATTGTATTGGTTTTTGTTAAATCTATTATTTAAAAATCATACCTAAAATGCTTTTTTTTTTTTTTTTAGTTTTCTCGAGATGTTATAATTTAATTTTTATTTCTTTTGAATTGACATAATGCATGAAGAGTCATTACAACTGGTTTCAGATGTTTTCCTGCAGGATTAATTAGCCTAAATCCATCTAATGCTGTTTGCTATATTGAGCCATAGATATTAATAATACTTTATGAAGTGTTGAGATATTTAGATTACAACTGTTAAAGGCTCTTATTTGGCAAATGCATTACTTTTCTCCTTAATCACATGATAACAATCAGTCTGATAATAATGTTTGTTGTTGTGAAAGTTCTTCAATTTTATGGTAACTTATTGATAGACTTGATAACTTCCCCCATAAGTAAAGTATTTATAAAATTATTGATATAAACAAATTGTATGTGTGTGATGTTAGCCTTGTTCTTGGGAGTGGAGAAAGTTAGCAACTCTTGTCACTTCCTTTATTATTAAGTCAGGTATATCCCACTTTTATCTTTGTTCTTACTGTTTAAGATTGTGGTACCAGTATTTTATAGAAATATACACAGAGACAAAGATTGAAAAATCCCTCATGAACTAAAGGTTGCAATGCAGAGAAGGTTCCGAAGGTGTGTAGAGTGCATATCCGTGTAATATTGTCTGATTATTATTGATATTGTATTGTATATGGTATTAAAAGACCCATCCTCTCATGTATGGTATAAGATTGACTGCTCACTTTTGTACAGTGTATTTGCTTCTCTAGTTAGTAATTTAATATTAATTATATTAATGACATTTACATTTTAAGAAGAGGAGTAGATATCCATAACTGTCTCCTCAAAGAGGTGTCTGTTGGCAAGTAAGTGTCGATCTGTCGCTATTCCGGGGCAAGTGCCACGCAAGGAGAAGTATTTTTATTTATGACTGAACATTGCTGAATAAATGTACATTTTATTTGGACTTATTGCATTTTATTTCCAACCTTTATTTTAAAAAGAACCTTGGTAAGGTAAGTTATTAAACTATTAAATATTTGTGTAGTAATGTACTGTACTTTAGTGTTCCATAATGTAATTCATAATAGTGTTTGTGCAGTATTTATTTTGTGCAGATAACATGCTACTTAACTTTTATTTAATTTTCTATTTAATCAACAGACTTTTTGATGTCGGAGGACAGCGGTCAGAACGTAAAAAATGGATTCATTGTTTTGAGGATGTTACAGCCATCATCTTCTGTGTAGCCATGTCAGAATATGACCAGGTTTTACACGAGGATGAGACCACTGTAAGTTTTGGATTTTTTATTTCTGGGTACTATTAATGTGACTGATTTCATTTTAATGGTTTTCCCATTCATTGGCAAAAAAAAAATTTAGTGTCATTTGCTTCACCATTTAGAAAAGGAAAGGAGGGAATAAAATTATTCATGCCAGGCAAGTAGAGAAGGGTGTATAGTACTGACTTAAAGTTAGACTATTTCACTGAAGAGGACACTAACAAATATTATAGGAGTAACTATTATAATATTAATAGACAAGACTTAAACATGCAGGGAATAGGGGGTAATCAGGTTTGATCTGAGGCAAGGGAGGGGCATTTCATTTCTCTGAATCAAGAACTTTCACCAGGATTTAGAAATTTTTAAATATTAAGGATTTGTTTCCATGAAAGTTTGTACCTTTACCATATAATAAGACATTTTAAAATATTCTGCAAAGGATGTAGACTAAGTTGCATTTAGTAAATCTGAACACAGCTGTTATGTATGAAATAAGTGGAAGTTCTGATAATCAATTTACGTTTTGCTTTGGGCTGTGCCACTACATGTAGAAAGAAAATTATGGAAGTGAATAGATTGGCCATGGTAAAATTTAAATATTTTCTACCACAGAAATGGCTTTTCTCATGGTACTATAATGAGAACAGTATTTCCATATTGTCTCTTGTGTCATTGGTTAATACTTAACTTGTTTCCCTTCAGAGTTTATTGTGGTGGGCTCAGTTATCTGAACACCATTTTCTAATTTGATCTTGTATGTTTGTCATGCATTTCATTGTTGATTATGCTCTAGTCATGTTCATACATACTCTTTCCTTATATCTTAGTAAAGCCTGTACACACTACCCTATTTATAATTTTTTTAACTTCTGATTTTCCTACCTAGACGGGGTGATTCAAAGAAGAAGAAATTCACCATTGCTCACACTTTAGCTGCCTTTCCAGGACAGCACAGATGTCTGTCCAGTGATAACTCCCAAGAAGCCACAACCTCCTTATCCCACATTCAGAGTTCTGGCATTAATTCCTAGCTTTTCAAAACTCATGACTTTATGGTTTCCAAGAGTCCTTTCATGGATATTACTTAGCTCATGCAACAGCATTCCTTCATAAATATTACCTTGCTCACACACACACACCAGTAATGTCCCTTCATAAATATTACTTTGCTCACTCACCAACAGTGTTCATTCATAAATAGTTCCCTGTTCACACACCAACAACACAGCATAAGACTGCTGTCTTCCACGCTCATCTACTGAATGCCGACACTAGTTTTCCAAATTTGTGCTGTACGCCCTTTACTGTCTTTATGAACCCCAAGACTGGGTTTTATTAAGTGCACAAAAATGAGCAAGCACACTGTCTTATAAGGCAAACAAGCATCTTGAGGTCAGGCTCAGAGATAAGACAGGTCACTTTTTTTTTTTTTTTTTTTTTTTACGCTGACCGTCTCTCACCAAACTGGGTTAACCCAAAGAAGAACAACTTTCACAGTCATTCACACATAATCATTGTTGTTGCAGAGGTGTGCAGATACAACAGTTCAGATGTCACTCCAAACTGCAAATATCCCAAAACAACCTTTAAAGTGCAGGCACTGTACCTCCCACATCCAAGACTTAAGTCTGGCTATCCAGTTTCCTTGAATCCCTTCACAAAAATATTACCCTGCTCACACTACAACACCTCATCAAATCCCTAAAACCATTCGTTTCCACTCCTATTTAACACTCTCACACACACCTGCTGTATGTCCAAGCCCCTTTCACACAAAACCTCTTTTACCTCCTCCCTCCATCATTTCTAAGGACAACTCCTACCCCACCTTCTCTCCACTACAGATTTATACACCCTCCAAGTCATTTTCTTTTGTTCAAGCCTCTCTAAATGACCAAACCACCTCAACAATTCCTCTTCAGCCTTTTGCCCTTTCTTTCAAAGAACACGAGACAAAGGTCACGACAGCCAGGAGGATGATGAGGTTGGTAACGAGAACTTTCAAAACAAGGGAAATAACATGGACGGTGACACTTTTCAAATCGCTAGTGTTCCCTCATTTGGAATGTTGTTCAGTGTTGATGGCCCCTTGCAGGGCTGGAGAAATATCAGAGCTGGAACAGATACAGAGATTGTTTATGACCAGCATAGTACTAGTAAAGCATATAAAATACTGGGAACACCTTAAAGTCTTAAATATGTACTCACTGGAGAGAGAGAGAGAGATAGATAGATATGTCGTAATATATACCTGGAAAGTACTCGAGGGCCTGGTCCCAAATCTGCACACTGTCATAACATCATACTGGAGCGAGAGATATGGGATGAAGTGCAAAATAAACCCAGTGAAAAGCAGGGGTGTGGTGGGCACAGTAATGGAATACTGTATCAACATTTGTGGCCTCAGATTATTCAATATCTTATCAGAAGATATCAGAAACACTGCTGGAACAAGTGTAGAAGTCTTCGAGAGAAAATTAAACAAGTATCTTCATGAGGTACCAGATGAACCAGGCTGTGATGGATATGTGGGGCAGCGGGCCTCCAGCAGCAACAGCCTTATTGACCAGGCTAGTACCAGACGAGCCTGGCCCATGGCTGGGCTCCGGGAGCAGGAAGACTCTTGAAACTCATCAAAGGTATAGTAGACCATTAAATTACATGGATTTATTTGCCATGTTTTGATTACTGCACTATTAAAAAATTGGGGCACAATTTTATACAACACTTTGTAAAATTAACTTAACACAGTTCAGTTTGCTGGCAGGAAAAAAAACTTCCCCAGCTCAAGCTGTCGCCTGGGTGTGGGTCAGACCATTATGTCAGCGGGGGAGACCTATCACCATCCCCTGCCACCCCCAACACTCCTGCCACCTAAAAAAGTAATAACAATGGTTATAAATGACCATAATTTTTAAAGGGGTGGACTGGTAAGCCAGAGGAAGGCCTCGGTCAGATGACCAAAAGCTCCAAAGGCGGGTCATCATCTGACTAAGACCCGCGTCAGGAAACATTTGTCCTGTTTCCTGACGAACCTTACCTAACCTAACCTAACTCCCGCCACCCCCATCCCAGCCTTTGTGAATACGTGTCCAGTTCCATTCTCGCCTAGTAACTAGCTGTGTTTGTGAATTGTGTTTTCATCTTTTAACTGCCCTATATTGTATCTGCCAAGCAATCATGGCACCCAGTAGGCATACGAGTGTTGCTGAAAGTGGCAAGAAAAGGTATAAGCGTTTAAGTCTTAGAGTTACGGAGAAAATAGAGATATTAGACAAGAGATAGCCTATGGCCTTTAATGAAGCATCAGTTTGTACAGTTAAAAAGAATGAGGTAAATATATGAATTTTTGTGATGAATAACTGACTGACTTACTTGGCTTTACTGACTTACTGGCAGACTTGACTGATTTACTGACTGTCTTGATTTACAGACTTGACTTTACTGACTTAAAGTTAGACTATTTCACTGAAGAGGACACTGACAAATCTAGAAGCAGTGCTCTGGAGCAGCTGATACCTTACCGTCAGCTGTATAATGTACCGCAAAGTAAAACAGCCCAGAAATCCATTACAGAATTTATGCACACTCCAGTACTGTACAACCATTAACTTTAGTACCAGAACCTCTACCATCCACCTCAGCCCAGTAGAACCACAACATAACTCTCCACTCTCTTCACAATCATTGACAAACACCAGCACCCACAATTTAAGGTAAGAAATACCATTATTTCTTTTGCATTTGTAGTCTTAAGCAGAATTAACAACATAATACGTCACGACAATGAACAACAATTACATATTCACTTTTATTTTTGTAAAATCTGGAGGTACAAAAAAAAAAAAAAAAAAAAAAAAAAAAAGAGTTGTTTGGCTTTTTTGTGGTTCCCAGGAATGTAACTATTTTTCCTACAAGTTCTTCAGTTTATCTAACATAGCTTTACATAACACGGCGTTTTCAGGAATGTAACTGCCGTGTAATGTATATCCTAATTTTCACACTACGAATTTTCTGCATGATATTTACGCCACACATTGTCCTTAGACACAACTCGTCCACTGCCTCCAGCCTCTTCCTCGCTGCAACATTCACAACCTATGCTTCACATTCATTTAAGAATGTAGGTACTACTATACTAAACCAAAATTGTAATTACACAATGTAACCTTTACAAAGAAATAAAATATTTATTTTATTTATACATGTACTCTTATACATTCCCTTCTTTTCCTCCATAGATAATGTTCTTTGTCTCCACAGATAACCCCAATGTACCACCCATCTTTTTTCCTTCATCGATTCTATGGTTTACCTCATCCTTCATAAACCCATCCACCAACAAGTCAACACATTCACTTCTTCCATACTCCCTCCCTCCAATCTGATATCCAATTTTTCCTTATCTAAATCGTTTGAAACCCTCATCTCCTTACTGTTATCTATGTTCACTTTCAACTTTATTCCTTTACACACCCTCCCAAACTCATCCATTAACCTTTGTAACTTCTCTTAGGATTTCCCAAAAGCACAGTATCATCAGCAAAAAGTAACTGTCAACTCCCATTCTGTATCTGAATCTACATAATTTAATCCCACCCCTCTCCCCAACACCCTAGCATTTACAACCCAATCTACAAATATGTTAAATAACCATGGTGACATTATGCATCCCTTTCTAAGATCTACTTTTACTGGAAAGTAATCTCCCTCTCTCCAACACACTCTAACCTGAGCCTCACTATCCTCATAAAAACTTACCACCTATTCTATACACTTGCAACATCTGCTACATTGTTCCCTATACACCATATCAAAAGCAACAAAAAGTTCCCTACCTTTATCTAAATATTATTCACTTATATGCTTCACTGTAAATACTTGGTCTACACATTCCCTACCCATCCCAAGGTCTCCTTGTTCATCTGTGATCCTGCTCTCTGTCTTATCTCTATTTCTTTCAGTAATGCCTCTACCATACACTTTACCAAGTATATTCAGTAGGC